CTTTTTTTTCTTTTTGCTTATGTGGTGCTGGGGAATCGAACCCAGGGCCTCATGCATGCAAGGCAAGCGCTCTACCACTGAGCCACCTTCCCAGCCCTCTTTTTTTTTTTTAACCAGTCCTGGGGCTTGAACTCAGGGCCTGGGCACTCTACCACTTGAGCCACAGTGCCACATCTGTCTTTTTCTGTTTATATGGTAAACGTATAAACAGAATTGAACCCAGGGCTCCATGCATGCTAGGCAAGCACTCTACCACTAAGTCACATTCCCAGCTCCCAGATTAATTTTCTAGAGAGCAAGAGGCAGACAGCTCAATCAAGATATCACCCCAGCCAACATACCTCCATCCTGATGCCTCTGCAGTCAGTGTGTAGCTTTCTGAACGCCAGAAATGCAGTGACCAAGATACTAAGACTTTTGGTGTACCAGTTGCTTCATGCACAGGCCCCAAGATGTAGCTCACCTAGTCAATGCCTTGCCCTGACCAGCAGCCCAGAGCTGCAGGGATCCTCTTCTAGACCAACTATCAAGTCTCACACCAGTGTCCTCTCCTCCACTGTACACAGCCCACTCCCAGTTAGTGCCTCATCTCAACGGAAAAAGTAGACTTCATCATCTCTTCACACACACCAGGAATAGAAGCTGGGATAGAAGAAATACTGCCTGAGGTAGCATAACCCAAAGCCAGTGTTTCTCCATCCCCATCCAGCCCACACCCTGCCATTGCTCTCATGGACATGGTACCTGCTGCCACTGGCCTGTGGTAGAGACAGCAAGAAAGTGGACGTAGGAAAGATGCAGCATTTACCTGGGTCATGGGTGTCCAGATGGGAGAGCCTTTGAGGGCAGCTGCACACTGAGGGTTGTGTTTGGGTGCCGCTGACAGTTGCAGTGTTGCCTACAAGCCCTCACTCAGCCCTGGAGGCCGGGCATGAGCACCAGCCTGCCCATACTTCCTCTTTCCTGCCAGCCAGCCCATGGAGGGAGGGGGGGGCTGAGCGCGGTGACCAAGGCAGCCATTCCACTTCCCAGGGAAGCCACTGCCCGGGATTTCCCAGAGCCAAATATCTCTCTGTGTCTTTCTCTGTCTCTGTCTATCTTCCTTCTTTCCTTCCTTCCTTTCTTTCTCTTTCCTTCTTCCCACCTACCCTCCCTCCCTCCTTCCTTCCTTCCTTCCTTCCTTCCTTCCTTCCTTCCTTCCTTCCTTCCTCTTCTTTCTTTCTCTTTCCTTCCTTCTCTCCTTTCTTTTTCTCTCTTTCTTTCTTTCTTTGTCAGTCGTGTTGAACTCTGGGCCTGGGCACTGTCCCTCAGCTCTTCAGCTCAAGGTAAGTGTTCTGTCACTTGAGCCACAGTGCCACTTCTGTTTTCTGGTGGTTTATTGAAGCGTCTCACAGACTTTCCTGCCAGGCTGGCTTTGAATAGCGATCCTCAGATCTCAGCCTCCTGAGTAGCTAGGATTACAGGCATGAGCCATCGACGCCTGGCCCTTCCTTCCTTCCTTCCTTCCTTCCTTCCTTCCTTCCTTCCTTCCTTCCTTCCTTCCTTCTTCTTCCTTCCTTCCTTCCTCCCCTTCCTTCCTTCCTTTTTTTCTTTCTTTCTTTCTTTCTTTCTTTTTCTTTTGTTCTTTTTTCTCTTTCCTTCCTTCCCTCCTCCTACTTTCTCTTTCTTCCTTCCTTCCTTTCTCTTTCTTTCTTTCTTTCTTATATTACCTTTAAGTAGTTGTACATAGGAGTTGCAGTTTATGAATACAGTATATCTTGCTCAATGTCACCTCTTTCAACATTTTCATTCAGCCCTCCTCTCCCAACCCCTTCCTTCACTCTCCTCAGTTTTGTAGGACCTAAGTTGGATTCTTGTCTCAGAAGCCAAATCTTCTTGTTGTTTCTGTTGCTCTCCTGAGGAGCACAGGGTGGGGGAGGCGCACCTGGGGTTCAGCTCCAGGATGGACAGAGACTTGGCAGTGTGGGTGGGTAAGCTGGCCTCAAAGAGCAAGTCTTCACTGAGCATTCCTGGACACCATAGCCTGGACCTCAAGAGACAGCCTTGGGTCACTTACTACATCATTGTGAAGCTCACACACTTTGAAAATGGAAGCTTGGGGCAGGAAAACCAAGTCACCATGCTGTGGAATTAGCTGCTTCTAAGTGAATGAGCAGTCACACAAGGGAACACTAAGGAGCTTTGAATCTGCCTGGAGCCAATGAGTTGTTATTGCTCTCAGTAATAATGATGATAACTTGTTGAGCATCATGGCACACACCTGTAATCCCACCTAATCTGGAGGCAGAGACTGGAGGCTCATGCATTTGAGGCCAGCCCACACAAAGTTAGTGATGTTCTACCTCAAAAACAGAATACAAAGCCAGGCATGCTAGTAGCTCACATCTATAATCCTAACAACTCAAGAGGCTGAGATCTGAGGGTCAAGGTTTAAAGCCATCTTCAGTAGACAAATCCAAGAGACCCTCATCTTCAATTAACCAGCAAAAAGCTAGATGTGGAGATTTGGCTCAAGAGGTAGAGTGCCAGCTGTGTGTGAAAATGCCTAGCAAGTATTCCAGGCTCTGAGTTCAAAATCTAGAATGTCTAGTAAATGTTTTGCATCCTTCGTGGATTTCCCTCATATAAATACTTCTCCAGGGGCTGGGAAGGTGATAGAGTGCTTGCCTTGCATGCATGAGGCCCTTGGTTCGATTCCTCAGCACCACAGAAGCAGAAAAAGACGGAAGTGAGGCTGAGGCTCAAGTGGTAGAGCGCTAGTCAACAGCTGAAGAGTTGAGGGACAGCGCCCAGGCCCAGAGTTCAGGCCCCACAACCGACCAAAAAAAAAAAAAAGAGGGCTGGGAAGGTGACTCAGTGGTAGAGCACTTACCTTGCATGCCTGAGGCCCTGAGTTCGATTCCTCAGCACCACATAAGCAAAAAGAAAAAAGCCGGAAGTGGTGCTGTGGCTCAAGTGGTAGAGCGCTAGCCTTGAGCTGAAGAGCTGAGGGACAGCACCCAGGCCCAGAGTTCAGGCCTCACAACCGGACCCAAAATAAATAAATAAATAAAATTTTAAACCAGAATTTAAAGTAATTTACATGCCATCATTGCAGTATTGACTGAAATTGACTATTACTAATTACCATTCTGTTCTCTTAGTTTAAAGAACTCCCTTTAACATTTCTAGAAACATTTTTAGTGAGGCCAATTTAGAGGTGATGAATTCCCTCAGCTTCTGTTGCTCATGAAAGTCTTTATGTGTTCTCTTCTGAGGCACAGCTTTGCCAGGTAAAGCATTCTTGGTCAGCAGTTTGTTTCAGTGCTTTGGAAATCTTACTTCATTTTTTTTTTTGTTTATGTTTGGCTTAGATGCCCTCTGTGTTCTCTCGTAATTCTCTGAGCTTCCTTAAAACAGTGGTTTTTAATTCTTTTGCATGCAATGAATAGATTTTCATTTCTTTCAAGACTAGACACTGAAGCGCTGTGATGTTCTTTTGGTGATGGATCATATTGCATTGGTTTCTCATGTTTCTGGTAGTCTTGCTTTACTGTCTTAAAAAAAAAGAAAAAGATCCCCAGGGCTTGAACTTGGCCTGGGTGCTATCCCTGAGCCTCTTTGTGCTCAAAGTTAGCATTCTACCACTTTAAGCCATAGTGTCACTTCTGGTTTTCAGGTGATAGAGCCTCACAGAGTTTCCTGCCCAAGCAGGCTTCAAACTGGGGTCCTCAGATCTCAGCCTCCTGAGTAGCTAGGATTATAGTTATTTCTTCTAGTTGTCAGTGTGTGTGTGTGTGTCTGTGTGTGTGTGTCTGTCTGTCTGTGTGTGTTTGGGATCAGAATCAGGGCCTTGAGCTACCTCTACTACTCAGCCAGGATAGAGGATGTGTTTGTGCATGTGTGTGTATGTGCCAATACTGGGGTTTGAACTCAGGGCTTCATACTTTCCCTTAGATTTTTTTTTTGCCTAGGGCTGGCATTGCACCACTTGAATCACACCTCTGCTACTGATTTTTTCCTGGTTAATTGGAGATAAGAGTCTCGTAGACTTTCCTGCCCAGGCAGGCTTCAAACCATGACTCTTAGACATCAGCCTGTTGGAGTAACTAAGATTTCAGGCTTGAGTCACTGGTGCCCACCAGTCCAAAGCTCTCTCAGAACTTCCAAGTGGATTTAGATTTGTCTTCTCTACTCTCCTTGATTTTTTGTTATTTAGGGAGGATTCTTTGTGCTGTATGACTTCTTCTTGATCCTGCAACGCTTGGTCATTTACTGATGGTCTCCCATTTGTCCAAGTTTCTGTGCTTTTGCCCATTCCTACAAAGTCAATCCCTGGGTTCAACCCCAGCACCAACAAACACGCACACGCGCACACACACACATGCACACACACACACAACACACACACACAGAGGCACTTGCTTTCTCCTGCAGGTGGATCATGAGCCAGGGGCTGTTCTGGTGCTGAGTTCACCCCTTATGGGGGAGGGTGATGCTGGTAATATGCCTTTTTTTATTGTCTCCAGTGTGTCTACTTTTAGGTACGCTTTTAGGTATTTTGCTCCAGTAGTGTGCTGGAATTTCTTCTGTGGACTCCTAGACTTCCACAAGGTGCTCTAGTACATGGATGTATGGTTGTCACTTATAGGAGAGACAGATTAAAAACTATCCTGCCATTTTCCTCTGTATTCTCCTCTTCTGTTACTATCTGCTTTTCCCTGCTGATAAATTCCTGGACACCTCTCTATGACTCTCTCTAATCTTGGTGCCAACATACCTTAAAGACAATAGAAAACACCTGCATGGGGCTAGTGGCTCATACCTATCACTCTAGCTACTCAGGAGGCTGAGATCTAAGGATCACAGTTCAAAGCCAGCCTGGGCAGGAAAGATTGTGAGACTCTTATCTACAATTGACCACCAATAAGCCAGAAGTGGTGATGTGGCTTGAAGGGTAGAATACCAGCCTTGAGCAAAAAAGCTAAGTAAGCACTAAAGACCTTAAGTTTGAGCCCCATTAGCAGCACAAATAAAATAAACTAAAATAAATCTGAATAAAAAATAAAACTGCAGCCGGGCGCTGGTGGCTCACGCCTGTAATCCTAGCTACTCAGGAGGCTGAGATCTGAGGATCGCGGTTCAAAGCCAGCCTGGGCAGGAGGGACCGTGAAACTCCTATCTCCAATAAACCACCAGAAAACCGGAAGTGGCGCTGTAGCTCAAGTGGTAGAGCGCTAGCCTTGAGCTGAAGAGCTGAGGGACAGCGCCCAGGCCCAGAGTTCAAGCCCCACGACCGACCAAAAAAAAAATAAATAAATAAAACTGCATAAAGAAGCTGTCATCCACAGACAGAGGCAATTTCATTTTGTGAAACTTGAGGGCCTATTTTGTCAGGATGTGCAAAGATTAGAGAAAAGATCTAGCAAGAAAGCCCCTCAGCCTATCCACCAAGGGCACACTTGTAATCCCCACTGTTCAGGAAGCTGAAATCTAAGGATCTAAGGATCCAGCCTGGGCAGTCTTCAATCAATCAGCAAAAAGCCCCAAGTGGAGTTGCAGCTCAAGGGGTAGAGTGCCAGCCATGAGTGAAAAAGCTAAGAGACAACATCCAAGCCTGAGTTCAAGCCTCAGCAAGGGCACACACAAAAGAAATCCCTCAGGGCATCTGAGTGTGTAGTTCAGTGGTATAGTACCGGCCTCACATGCTGAGGTCTGGGTTTGATCCTCATCTTAGGGGGAAAATAATCCCCCAAGGTGCAGGAGGAAAGTAAAGACAGACTAATGCAGGTTAACTTCATTCCGTGTCCTGTCCTCATAGGACAGGACTCAGCTGAGTGAGTCACAGAAGTAATTACTGACCAAAGATGTGAATGTTAGTTCTGTACAGGCACAGAAAGAGAGCTGAGAGGGCCACAGTTGAATGGTAACGT